TGGTGTTTCTGGCATTGTGGATTAGATCCTGTATTTTCTGGCTGTGGTTCTGCTTCACTGGTCTGATGGCACAGTTCAAGTTGGCTCTCGCTGTCCTCAGTGCCTCTCTGTCACCAGACTTGAAGGCTGAGTTCTGTGCCTTGAACAATTTTCGAAACCTCCCCAGTCATCCATAGTCGTTGGTTGGCCCGGGTGATGATTTTCTTTGTGGTGTTGACATCCTCGATGCATTTGTTGATATAGGCTGATAAAGCCATGGCATACACATCAATATTGATCTTGTCGTCAAATGTGGCTGTAGCTTTGAACATATTCCAATCAGAGCATTCAAAACAGTCCTAGGGTGCCTCTATGGCGCCCTCAGTCCACACCCTGACCTTTTTCACTGTAGGTTTCGCTCTGATAAGTAGTGGCCTGTATGCAGGAATTAGCTTGACAGATAAGATGTCTGACCAGCCGAGGTGGGGGCAGGAGGCTGCTCTGAATGCATCTTTGATGTTAGAGTAGGCTAAGTCCATAATGTTATGGTTCTGAGTTGCAAAATCGACATGCTGGTAAAAATGAGGGAGAGCAGTCTTTAATTTACCCTGGTTAAAATCCCCAGTAATGATGAATGTGTGCAGATTGAAGCTCAGATATAGTCTTGTATAGAGCACTCATGGACTCTTTTGTATTAGCACTGGGGGGCACATATACAGCAGTGATGCTAACAACAATTAACTATAAGCAGATAGAAAGGTCTGCAGTTAACAGTCAAAAACTTGATGTATGGAGAGTAGAAGCTGGTAACTGATCTAGCATTTTTACAACAGCTGTGGTTGATTTGAACGCACAGCCCCCCTCATCTGTTCTTAAGGGCTGATTATAATCCCCACAGCAGTGTGTTGCAGTGAGCTTGACGCAGACATCTTTGATCTATCCTCAATTTTGAGCGTGGTCTGCGCTATGTGGGTCTAGATACGGCCGAGGCGGTGAGGAGGTGGGGGCGAGTTTGTCTGACAACAGAGGGCCATGATGGCGAAAAAGAGCAGGGATCAAGGTGGAAAAGGGGTCCCAGCATTCTCGCACACCTCACTCTTCTAGCTGGTCCAACTTAACGAGTTGTTTTCCGCAATTGCAGTCACAAAAACAGGGGGGGTATGATTTAAGGGAGATAACTAATTTTAAGATTCAAAGATACAGAACTGCAAGGAAAAGATTTTGTATAACAAATAGTGGAGTGAGGCTATGGAACAGACTGAGCAAGGATTTGAAGCAATGTCCAAACATCAACCAGTTTAAAAACAAATATAAACAAATGATTTTTACAAGAAAGATGAATAAATAAGAGGTAAAATGACCTCATGTAATTGTTTAAAAGTCAAGCTGTTTGTTTTAAACGAAAAACGTTCCAT